GGGGGCCACCCAAAGACATGTAAAGGGATGTCATCGGTGTTCAGCGCGGGTAATAAGCAATATTGTCCGACACTCATATTAGAATCCTCTGTATAAGTAAATTGACGTCCACTGTCTGCCAGCAGGGTTCACAAACAGCAGTCGAAATATGTTTGGCCTGAACAGGTTGACCTTGCTTTGTTTTCGCACGCACAGCCTTTCCCAGTGGAGGGCTGCATTCATGTTGGGTCCAAAGGTTTGTTTTGCCACGCTAGTCTGGTGGTCAACTGTTTGTTTTGGGCCTTGAACATCACCCCCCTCAACTGCTGTAACAAACGGGAGGTCACCCCCTGTAAGTTTTTTGGTTTCACTCCCCCTACCCCCCATTTGCAAGAAATCTAAGTTGGACCTCAGGGTTTGTATGCAGGAGTGTGAAGACCACTTGGAAGGACAATCCGAGGACGAGTTGATTTCAGAGGCTGAGAGAATCCTTCGCGAGACTGATGATGTTGCGGACGAGGGAAACAATGAGATTCCAGAAGGTGCGGCGACTTCAGCGGCCGCAGAAGTCACCAAAGCCGATGAGGACCATGAAGCAGGGGAGGAGCAAGCAATGGAGGCGTTATGTTCTTGCAGTTGCTTGTTGCCTCAAAGCATTTTTCAAAGTGCAGTGTTCACCTGGCATATTTCTATATCAACTGTTGTTTCTCAGCATAGGTTTGTTGCGCAGGTAGATGGGCCTCGCGCAGATGCTGGTGGAAGTCACGCAGCAGCTCTTGCCAGAGGACGTGTTCAAGGCAGTTGGCCGCCTGGTGCGCGTCCATACTTTGGCGCGCCAAAAGAGTCCAGCGAGTTCATTCAGGCATATCTGCCAGCAGGGTGGAAGCATGAGGGGAAGAAAAGCAAAAGCCTGAGCTTCTGTGACGCTGCAGATGGCCCACGTTCTTCAAGGAGTGCTGCTTGCTCCAAAGAGGCTGCTGTTATGGCTGTGCAGGGCTGGGCCTGGGAGTGGTGGGCAAGTTTGACTTCAGTTCAGCAATTGTCAATTCGCGAAGCTCATCGTGAGGAGGAACCAGGACGACCTTTGAAGCGACCTCGCGTGTGACCATTGCAAGGAGAAAGCAGTGATCTACATGCCTGCATGTCGGACTTGGATCCGGCTCACCTCACTGCTCACCTTGGGCAGTAGTTTGGATCGGCATCCAACTTTTGAGGGGGAAGCTTTAGCTGGCAAAGGCAGCTGAGCAGGGGAATCTTTGAATCAAGGGTGATCCCTTGATGGCAGAACACCAGTTTGCGCACCAAAGAAGAACATCCCGCGGCGGCTGGATGCGAGTAAGGACATGCATGTGCTAGTGGACTTCAAGGTAAAATCATTGGGCAAATGAACCTCTTTTGTCTCATTACAAGCAACCTCCACTGAACAGCTAGTTTTGTGTGAGCTCCAGTGACTTTGCACAAACAATAGACTGCATCATCATTTGGAAAGATTGTTTGACATTGGAATGCGTGTGTAAGGATACATTATGTGTGCGCACGCTACAAAACATCTGCTTCATTTTGCGCATCAACTCTGGGACATAATTGGGCGACCTCAACGGAATGGGGAAGTGACCGTTTGAATTATGGCTCCGATGATGATCTGGTGGAAGACCCTGAACTTCGACAAGGTCGACCACACCTTCGACGTGCGCAGCGGTCAAGAAGTCGAGCAAGAGGAGGCCAGAAGAGGAAAGAAAGAAATGAACCAGAGCAACTTCCTCAAGAAGAAGGAGCGCCTCAGGACGATCTCAATGAATACACTCCTTCGCAACCTGTACCAGGTTTAGCTGAGGTAGAAGGTGAACCAGAACTTCCAGCTCGGGAAGAAGCTGATGGGAGGCGACTTGTTTCAGACCTTCAGTACTTTCCCTTTCCTGAGCCAGCGCACGGCCCTCTCTTTGAGCGCGAACCATTCCTGCGCGCCCGGCAAAGGCATGAACGTTGGAAAGGCCTCAACATGTTCAACGAGAAGAATTACCTGAGGAGACAAGATCCCGACGCAGAGCAGAGCCTTCGACAGATCCAAGGCGAAGCAGATCACCTTTCGCCCAGAGCTCAGCCGTCAACTATGTCTCGACTGAAGACGATGAGAACTATGTCTTCAGTGTGATTTTGCCGGAACCACAGAATGAGAAGGAATGGCGGGCCACCCTGAAAGATCGTGGCAAGTTCATCGCAAACCGCGTGGCCAAAGGCGTTGAAGTCTCTTGGCCAAAGCTGAACACAGAGCAAAGGCTTGCTATGAAACAGGCAAAGCAGTAGAGATCAAAGAATGGATCAGCAGTCAAGTCTGCAAGGGCCCTTGGCAAAGTGGATCCAGCTCGGATCATGAAGATGCGTTGGGTTTTGGTTTTCAAGGCCGCAGGGCCAGGGCAAGTGAAGGCCAAAGCAAGGATAGTCATCCTTGGCTTCTCTGATCCTGATGATGTTGGAGTACTAAACACAAAGTCTCCAACTATGTCAAGACGCAGCCGCCAGCTCTTGCTACAGCTATCCACTCATCGGTCATGGCAGCTGCTCAAAGCGGACGCAAAAGCCGCTTTCTTACAAGGCACTTCAAGCCAACAAGAAAGAGGTATCTTTGGTATTCCAGTGGAGGACCTTTGAGAGGCGATGAAGCTAGGAAAGGAGCTGGGAGCTGCATATGGCCTGACGGTTGCACCTCGCGCCTTGAGCGGCTCATCACTGAGCCCTGCTTGTGGCGATTCCGCACTAAGGTGCAAGGCGAGATGACAACTGTTGGAATGATCGGGAGTTACGTAGATGATTTTCTCATCGTTGGCTCAGAGGCGAATCCAAATGGCGCGAGATCATCGAGAAGTGTCATGCTTCGATGCGGTGGTCTCCATGGGAGGTTGCTCCCATGACGCGTTGCGGTGTAGAACTGCAACAGTTGCCGGATGGTGGATGGCGCCTAGAATTTTTTGGAGCTGTTCAATGGCGAGTTTATCAAACTGGTCCTCAGCATGCAGCCAAGCTCACCCACCTCCAGTCGCTTCTGAGCAAAGCAGATCGTTCCATCATCCCTGAAGTGAACCGCTTGGTACGCGAGGTCCACGACAGAAGGAGATTGGCCTCACAGTGCGTTGAGCAGGACTCTAGTGGGATGGAGCGACGCGGCATTGGCCAACAGAGTTGACTTAGGCAGCACTGGTGTCTACATGATCGGCTTTGTTCACCGCACCATCCTGGAGCAAGGGCCCAGTGAATTTGATGAAACTGAGAAAAGTGTGCCGCTCGTCACTAGCTGCAGAAGCTCAGGCCTTGGCTGGCGCCGAGCAAGAACTTATGTTTTTGAGACTTCAATGGCAGGAGATGCTTGGCAAAGCCATTCACCTGCCGAATTTGCTCGGTTGACCAGGGCAGCTTTAGTGGTAGATGCCAAAGCTCTTTTTTGACGCAGCAAAGAACGGTTCTTTGCAAACCAGTGCCTTTAGCATGAAAGATAAGTATTCAGCTCTTGAGTTTTGGCCTTAGTTCAGAACTTAGACGCTCAAGGCGCTTAACTGCGTTGGTGCAATTCGGACGCTCAGCTAGCCGATGGATTGACGAAGGTAGCGGCTCAGGATCGTGTGAAGAAATTTCTTTTGGGCGGCCAGACGTGGAACCGCGCTCGCAAACTGCGACAGCAAGAGAACGCCCAAGTGTTTGAAGATGATCCACCAGCCGATGTCACCATGACAGACCTTCTGTTTTACACAAAGCTCAAGATCCTTTACTGAAGGTTTTGGGGGTGTGCAAGAATCTAAGGGAATCGAGTGTGAGCCGTTCGATTGAGTGTTCAGCTTCAGTTCATGAGCTTTGCATTTTCGCTTTAAAGGACCTTGAAAGGTGCTCAGCTACCGCAACCGACGCTGCCATAGGTGGTAAAAGTGTGTTGATCGAAGCACGCTGCTTGGGAGATTGGGTGGTGACCTGTGTTTGGATTGGACGACATCAAGGGCTTCGTTTTCCTGTTGCACCTTTGGTTGGACAAAAGCTACCATTGCAATCTGCACCTTGCACCAAAAGATTCCAACCTCATTTGTCAAACAAGGCACCTGCACGGTGTGTGAAATCTCCAGCACAATGGATGTACCTCATCTGCATATCCGTGAGGTCCTGACAGGACATCATTATATCAGGAGACAACCCCTCCATCCAAAACTGCCCTCACCTCACCCAATCCACCATCCCGATCAGTCTCGTTGTCGGACGAGATTTCACGCCAGACAACCATGATCTCTTAAGATCTCTCGAGCCCAAAGATCCAGTTGCTGTTTGGAAAAGACCCGCTTACAATTACATTTGCTTGTTTTTTTCGTGATAACCTTTCCAGCCGCCAGTGCAAATACAGAGCCTCCTTGAAAAATGTGATTGGCGCTGTGTCGTGCCTCCCTTGAAGGCTAGCAGCACATAGTCACATAGTTAAACATGACTATGCTTTGTTCTCATTCGCGATGTAGATATGCGGCAGGCAGTGTCCATTTTTTCAGAAGCGCGCCTGGTTTGATCGTGTGGAAACACTGCACTTAGTGCGTCCCGAAATGCACAAAGTCATTGGAGAGATCAGAGGTAGCCCGCATCGTGCCTCAAAGACCCTGAAACACAAGCTTCTTGATGCCACATGGTTTTGGCGCAAATGTAGGTCCCAGAGCGTTTGGAAACATTGAATTGAACCTGTGTTTTTTAGGTCATGTTTCAACCATACTAGCATGGTTTTGGTGACACCTGGCAGCCTGCGCTCCATCATCCAAATGAGCTATGACAGAAGGCAAGGACTTGGAATCATGTGGTCGAGTCTACCCACTACAGGAACACAGTTTGATACAGTAATGCATTGAAAATGCATGCTAAAACCCATTGGTTGAGGGGTTTTCCGGGTTTCCTATTTTCAGTACACACCCATATAGATATTGCCATGACCTGAATGCACCAGGCGAAGAAGTGGCAAAATTGCAGGCATGGTGCGGCACACCATTCCCAATAGTATGATCACCCACAAAAAATTGATGGGCATTTGGTGGTTCAAACCCGGATGTTTGCTTCGGATCCGAAACATTTGTCCAACACACAGAACCGTTCCAACAAAGATTAGGGCGTTTGGTTGTGCATAGCTGAGAACATGTTTGGCAACACACACACACATGCCTACGGTGATAGCAGTAATTGCATGAATCTTACAGAGAGTCTAAAGCCAGAATACGTCCTCAGGTGTTATGCTGTTCACGTTGCTTGACAACAGTGCTGGTTTTTCATGCATCATGAGGCACCTTTGCCCTCGATGCCCTCATCGTCAGAAGCTCCAGGAATCGGGCTCTACGTGCAAGGCCTCAGAAACACAAGGCAAAATACAAGCCTCAGACAACCCGCAGCAGTTGCTTAGCTGCCACAGCTAGTTGCAGATTGTTTGCATCAGTGTACTTTGACACTTTCCAGAAAATACGTTGGTTGGGAGATCACCAATGTGAGGATTTCCTTCACGGGCAAGAATTGATTGGCTGAGGTCACTGTGAGCTTTGACGATGGTCCTGGGCTGGGCTCCCAAAGAAGACCCAAGCCAACACAGCCTACTATTCAATATCCCTGGAAGTTGACCCAACAAAATCTCGTGTATTCAGCTTTGGCAACTGTGTGCGGCACATTGCAGCAAGTCCAGATTGCACTCTCAAGGCATTGTCAGACCTGTGATCTAAGAAACCAAGCAATGCTCAGGACTGGTTTGACAGCACTGACATCAGAGGAGAGCAGGGTGAGGGGATCTCAAAGAAATGAGACAGCACACAACTTCGAGAAGTCCGCCAGATTGAGTTGTTAGCCAACCAGTAGGCTAGAAGTTTGGGGAGCAAAGCGGGCCAAACCAAGATCGAGTTGGAAACTTAGTGAACCTTTTTATGTTTTTATCGTGGAGACGCATTGGTGAGTTGGTGATGCAGAAAACGCTGGCGGCATCACAAGCATCAGGAAGCGCAATAGATATCACCTGGTATGAAAGCTTTGCAATGATTAGATAGTAATAGTAGTTTGTTACCTCGAGCTCCATTCAAGCATATAGATTCGCCCAGGATGACGCTTGCGATGAACGCTATTGGAGATTCCAAGAGGTTGGATGCTGTGTTGCACGAACCATTGTGAGGGTAGCTCGATTCCTGAACGGCGGACCCGAAACGCCAAAAAGGGCGTTGCATGATTCAATGTTGCACGCACTGCTTCTTTGGTGAGCAGGTCCATGGATTTCCTCCACGATTTAAGGTGCTTTTCGCTGCTGCTCGGCCCAGGCAATTGTTCCTTGTTACACTCAAACATCAAGCAAAAAAAATTCAATTTTTGGGTTTCTTATGCTGCTGTACAACTGGGCCCAGTTACTTGTACTGGTACTGGCTCCCAGTCAGTGTCCTCCCTTGCACTTTGCTTCAATTTGCCATATGCTTGCTTTCCGCACACTTCTTGCCAGCCGAGGATGGAATGACTTCGTTTCTGAAAGACTTGTAAGGACCTCAAGCCCTAGACGGGCTGTTGCATTCGCCTGTGGCTCTACCTTTTTAGATTGTAGTGTCTTTTATATGAAATTATTATTAGTAGAATTATTACGGTTGCGCAGGTTTAAGGATAATCAGGTAAGAATCCAAGAAAAGTTGAACAATTGTTTCTGTTCTTCTTGGTGGACACGTCTTGTTTCTGTTATCCTGCAGTTTTCGTTTTAAACAACTTCAGGTCCATTGTTGCCCTTTCAGTTCTGTGACCAAGGCCAAATGCTGAGCAGGGTGTTCGGGGCGCCCAGAATCATATGGTACCTGATATCTTACTCAACCCTCTGAAGGTCCCTAGGAAGGTCACAGTACCTTGACAAAACTAGGCTTTGATACGGCAAAGAAAACGCTAATCAGGTCAAGTAAAGTGTCAAAATTGTCAAGTAACTATGCTCCTGAAAAAGACGAAACCATATATAGAGAAGATGGCTCAAACAGAATGTCAAGAGAAAATCCTGAACATCTAAAACCAGATGTTTGCTTCGGTCCCAGGCGGTTTGCCTTAGGAATGGATGTTGGGACTTTGCGATGGGTCAGACAGGACAGACGTCACAGACATGACAGTCAATAAACCATCAGTCCTCCATGTGCATCTTTTTAGTCATTGTATTAGTTAAACAGAAAAACATCAAAAAAAAACACACAGGTTCATGAGTGTTTATAGGAAGTTACTGTAGATGTTCTTCGTTCTTCAATGTTCATGTGTTTCTTGTTTGATTGGTTGACAAAGCAGAAGAATGGAAACTTGATGTTCAAATCAGGGCACCATCAGCTTCAGGAACCTTGTTCCCTGGCAACCCATTCAAGGTATTGATTGATGAAGATGGCGATGAGCTTGGGCCCCTGCGTGGTTTCTGGCTTCATTTCAGCTTGGCCAGCACTTTCCCCTCAAACCAGTAGTTGCGCATCCTGCTGTCCGGCATATGAGCTAGACAAGCACGTTGTTGCTCAACACTCAGATACAGGAGTGCTAATTCATTTGGTCGGTGTTTGAGTAAAAGATTGTATTGTTTTAAACTTAAACTGTGGCTGTTTGAAAGGGAAAAGCCGCAGCGACCACGTTAGTGCTCCAAACGCATTTTTCATCAGTCTGAATCAAAGGCTTTATGACGTTTGCTCTTAAAGCCCAGTTTGCTCAATCCTGGCATTTGCACAGCCGCAAGAGTTTGTTGTCAACGCCAGAACATCATTTGTCACCTTACCAAGGCACCAGTATCTCAAAGTCGAGCAGCTCGTGGTACTTGACCAGCAGGCCACCAGAGAAGCTTGTATGAGTTTGCTTTGGGTGATTTAGCAGGGGATAGCAGAGTGATTGCTGTGTGTAGCCCAATTGATAACTGAAGGACATTGTAGCACGATTGTGCTGTTCAACATGCCAAGGATTGCCAACGGGTATTCTTTCACAAGCTTGTGGCTCAAAGCGACAAAGCAATATTTCCAAGGTCAGACTTTTGAGATTCTCTGTGATGGCTGCGCCCACGCCGTATCCCTACCAGTTGCCTCAGACCAGCTCAATGGTGGTCGGATCTCCCTATGCCGCGTATTCCTCTCCCTATGCGTCCGTGGATCACTCCCAAGGCAAGTGGTTCGCTCCAGGCGAGGCACTTCCTCCTGGCTTTATTGCCATGCCGCACCCCGATGGTCATGCGGAGCCTCAGGCGACGTGGAGGGACTGAAGGGGACCAGGGCTTAGTAAAGCTCAAGGTCCAGGTTCCAAAGATGTTTGGGGAAATCTAGACAGAAGCGTGGAGCCATTGAGAAAAACAGGCACAGGCTCAACACATTGAAGCATTGCCAAGTAAGAAGGCTATGTTGTGTGTTGTGTGTTTTCTTCTTGTGTGAACAAGAGCAGTGTGGCAGGCTCATCACGCTGTCTCCGATGCGGTGAAGTCAGCCATGCCCGGTTTGGTGCCAGAAGTGACGAAGGTGGCCAGCGCGGCCACCAAGAAGAGGAGCGTCGTCGAACGTGTGGTCATGCCATGCTGGCCATGCGCTTTTGATATGGGCATGGGTCAAAACCTGGAGCCCTGCTTCCTGCCTGGTCCCCCTGGTTCCTGCCTGGTCCACCATGTAGCTTGACCTTCCAGGTAAGTCAATCATTGTATATCAATGTATATATCCTGGTCTTGACCCTTAGCCATATGGACTGCGCTCAAAAAGCCCTATATACTGTACTCAAAAAAGCTGATAAACGTAAACTGTTAAGGTCGGAGATGTGTTTTAAGTCCTCGTTTAGAAGCGGGCCCCCAGCAGACTATGGTGATCCAGCAAGGCAGCGCTAGATTCGCGCTAGGTTTAAGCAATCAGGAAAAAGACGAAACAAGCAGCCAGCAGGAAAAAGAAGAAGAAGAAACAAGATTTTGTTCTCAGAAGTCTCCAAAACGACATAGGAAGGACGTAAGAGCTGACTCAAAAGATTTGGATGTTGGATGGGCAGGTGGTCAAGAAATGGACCGTCGTCTAGCCGTCTAGCGCGGTGCTAGCGCGGATCTAGCGCCAGCCTAGCCCGGCGATTTTTTATTATGTCAGAATATTACTTTTCCTGCTTGCTTGCATTCTTCTTGTTGTGCATTCTTCTTCTTCTTCTTATTGTTTCCAACTGCAGCAGCAGGAGCAGCGGCAGCGGCAGCAGCAGCAACAGCAGCAACAGCTCCAGCAGCTCAACAGGCCCCTGAAAAGGTCCGCGCCAGACACCTCTCACAGCTTTTACAGTTGACATGCCTTCATGTTTAACATTCCTGTAGGATGTGTTGTTGATTGGGTACAGACCTCAACCGCCAGCTCCGGATGGCAGTGTTCTCAACCACGAGCTTCGGATGGCAGTGTTCCCCGCCGGGCCTCAACGCCAGCTTCGGATGGCAGTGTTCCCCGCCGGACCTCAGCCGCCAGCTCCAGTGTTCCCGCCGGACCTCAGCCACCAGCTCCGGATGGCAGTGTTCCCAGCCGGACCTCAATCGCCAGCTCCGGATGGCAGTTTTCCCCGACTGACCTCAACTGCGAGCTCCGGATGGCAGCGTTCCCCGCCAGACCTCAACCGCGAGTATTCCCTGCCCAACCTCAGCCGCGAGCTTCGGCTGGCAGTGTTCCACGCCTCCGGCTGGGAGTGTCCCCGCCGGACCTCACTTGCGAGTCAGAAGATATGCCAGATAGAACGCGAGAAAGAATGTGAGAAGATATGCCAGATAGAGTGCCAGAATGAATTACTGTAATGTCAGAAGAGATGCCAGAAGAATGTCAAAGATATGCAAGAAAGAATGTCAGCAGATATGCAAGACAGAGTCCCAGAATGAATGTCAGAAGAGATGCCAGAAGAAATGTCAGAAGATATGCCAGAAAAATGTGACAACAAATTGCAGAAGATATGCCAGAAAGAGTGCTGAAATAATGTTTCAATATATACATGCCTTAAAAATTTGTCTGATTCCAATGTCATGGCGGTGATCACTCGAAGTGAAGTATGAAAGTATATAACCAATTGTGTCTTCTAGGACTTGTTTTTATTGGTTGGTTCTGGCTCTCGGCTTTTGGCCTTTGTTTCACATGGTTTCTTGGCCTTTGGCTGGTTGGATTTTGGCGACCTTGTGTTGTTGCAAGTGGCCACATTGTCAATCTATGCTTCTTGCAACGGCCCTCGTCCTGTGCTGCTGGTGGGTACAGAAAGGAAGGAGGGGGAAACAATTTTGACGTGGGACCTACGTTTTGTGTTTTGGTACAGCCTAGAGAAAGAAGGGGCCATTGCAACTAGCATAATTGTATTGCAGTTCCTCCGCCTATTTGGCAACAGCTTTTAGCCACCCAATTCGCAACATCGCAAATGGTCAAATGCCAAATACACATTGGAGGGTAAAATTCAGACTCTTTTTCAGGGTTTGTGCGCTTGGGCGGGGAGACGCTGCCCTCCCAACCCCCCTCCCGTGTTTTACTTCTAAGGGCCAAACCCCTGCGTCGCCTTCTAATTTCAAGGAAATCCTTGCCCAAGAATAAGAACCAAAAGTGTCCTTTAGAAAAGGAGAGCGGGCGGTCATGGGGCCTGGGTTTTGGTTTTCCCAAAATTTTAGGTAATTGCTTCAGTGGCAGCCCCTCTCCATATAAACACACATATAATCTATTCCTGCTCTCTCTCTCTCTCTATATGAACAAATATATTATGTATTCCTGAGTCAGGGTCATTTTATTGTTTTGGAAGCAGCAATCAATCATTCAGATGGTTTTGAACAAGATAATTAGGAAAGAAGCAGGCCATAAAAGTGTTTATTTTAACAATTGTCCTCTTTATCTTTGCTTGTAATTATGTTTATATTTGGAAAGATTGTATATAGACGCTTTTATGTTACAAAAGATTCTCTATAGATCTCTGCAGATAATCACTTTTGGATTTACACAACTATATAGAAACCTTGTATGTTAAAAGCTGTCTTCTAGATTTCTGCGGGTAAGAGCTTGCATGTTCAAAGCTTTCCTTTGGATCTCTGCGAAAGTAGATATCCCATATATGTGTGTTTTCACGAATGGAAAGCTCTTGAAAGGATAACTTATTTATTGATATATAGCATGTTTTTAAATTGACATGACCATTTCCAGAGATCCAGAGGAAGCTATTGAAATGAACGCTTTTATATTTTTTATTGTAGAAATGATCATCCCCAGAGATCTAGAGGGATGCTCTTGAATTAGAAGCTTGTACATAAAACATGTTTAATATGTATATATTATCTCCAGTGATGACTGTAAATAAGTAAATCTAACTATTTACTCCAAAAAATAGTTTTAGTCGTGTTCCCAGCACTCCCAGGCAAACAATACTGTAAAACACATGTTTTTTGCATGTGTTTTCTTAAACTAAATAGACTAGAGCTAGAATAGAATTAGGTAGAACTAAATTGGATTTGAGTTAGAGCTAAGATAGAACTGAATTAAAACCGAATTTCAACTAAACTTGTATTGAACTATAACTATAACCTAATTGAAATTAGATGAGTTGAATTAGACAGGAAATGGAATTAAAATTAGAAGTTCGCAAGTAAGATGTAAAACGCTTGAGCTACAAGATGCACAAGTCGAGGAGGCTTCGAAATTACAAAGCCGAAGCAAATGCAACAAGCATTGAATTAGAACTACAGCTTACACAGATTCATAACAGTTTCATGTAAATTGGAAGGTGTCATTACAGTTTCATGTCAAGCTGATTCGACATGCAATTGGCAACCACATTGATACCAATCAGAAGTTAATGCACAGACTTGTACATGGAGATTTCGACAAGGACAAATGGAGTGTTGGGCTCAGACGCTTTCGTTGTAAGAGCAAGGAACATATGCTTTTAGGTGAGACTTAGGCTCACATGCTTGAAGGTTGAACCAAATAGTAATAACACAGATTGACCTAAATAGGAAAACAAAAAAACAAAAAACCTTGAGAAAACCATAACAACCTAGGAAAAACAAAAAACTTGGGAAAGCCAAAAAAAAAAAACAAAAAAAATCTGGGGAAGTCTTGAGGAAAGGGGGGGTCCAGCCAAGAGTCTTTGAGAATTGTTGTTTTTTGTTTTTTCCGTGGTTTTCCCAAGTTTTTTGTTTTTTCCTAGGTTGGTATTTGTTTTCTCAATGTTTTGTTTTTTTCCTAAGGCCTCGTTTTTTACTGCAAATTATTCAATATTTTTCGTTGCTTTGATTTTATTTGTTTTTTGTGGTTTTGATTGTATTTGTGAAAAGTTGTCTACAAGTACAGAAAACCAAAAACCCAGGCCCCATGGCCACCCCTGCTGAAAAAAATACGCACACAAAGATCCTAAGTTAATTCTGATCCAAGGTAATTATGTTGCATCTCATAAATTGGCAATTGCCGTCCCTGTTGGCAATGGATGTGCTGACCCATCAGGAGCAAGAAGAAGAAGAGCTCGGGTTGCTGCTGATTCGTCATCAGTTTCAAGTTCATTTCGACCGCAAAGCCTGAAATGCCGAGATAACAAAGCATTTGACAGCCTGGGTTTGTCATGGCTACTGTGCTTTTGCGGATGCGGCCCTCTTGAGTGAATGGCGCAGTTCCTGTACGTGATTTGACGCCGATGGCAAGTTGTAGAGAGTCTGCCTACGTATTGTTTTATTTGCCAAAATTTTAATCATGTTTAAAGTACCAATTTGGTTCGAAATTGCCAAACGAATCTTAACTAAACAGGGCGACATGATCAGTTTGGCAACCCTTTATGGAACTAGAATGGCATAGACTCTCTGCTCTACTGGCCTCGGCCTGTACCTCATCCACTCATGCATTTGAGTTGCTGGATCAGTTCTCGACATTCGATTTCACGCGAAACAATGGAGCTGAACACTCTGACCGCACCCAAGGAATAGCCCAGAGAGAGAGAGAGAGAGTCAACAGAACTTGCTTTCAGAATCGCAAAATCTTCAGAGCTTGGGTCTCGGGTCTTGGCCTTGTTTTTACCATTTGTTTTGATCAATTGGCAGAAATCATTCTTTACCGGTATTACATGGGTTTTGCTACCTGCTTCTACGAGGTCTTAGGTCCAGAATCTAGAACACTGAACAACAACACTTTGCACAATGCTTTCAAGTAATAAGTGCGTTGTTTTTACATTCACTGACCCTCAGAGTGTCACAGTAAAAGAAACTGCAACGCGCGGCCAGGAGCGTGAAGAGTCAAAGGGGATGAGGTCGGTCCTTGTTGGGGCGATCACTGAACCAAACACAGTTCTTGGAAAGATCCCTTTATGACACATGAAGAAGATTAAATAATAATTGCTAACTCCAGATAACTGCTGGTCAGTCCGCTGGTCCTACTTTGTTTCATATCATATTCCAAATCCAGTTGTTGGAGGGATGGAGACGTTAGTTTTTGGCACTTTTGGACCAGTTTCATGGGCGTTGGAGGTTTCGTTGGTGGATATGTGCTAACGCTACTACTAGGAGCAAGGACGCTACTAGGGGCTCCTGGCCGTAATACTAGGAGCAAGAAGCTACTAGGAACAAAGGGCATCGCTACTAGGA